TCTCTCTCTCTCTCTCTCTCTCTCTATTGTGTTTTTATATAAACTTTTATGACATGATTTATTAGTGTTTTAGTTTTAAAGTAAATAATTACTATTTAATAATTCAACAAAATTTTAATAATTTAAGCATAAATTTGATGAAAATTTGGAAACAATTTTTATGAATAAAATTTTAGAAATCAAAAATAAAATTTTATTAAATCGATATTTGGATCCGAAACAAGTGTAGTATAAATATAACAATATATAAAGACTAAATAAAATATAAATTGGTTACAAAATCTATACAAAATGCAAACAATATTGTCTTCAATTCTTATATAATAAGACTGTATTTACGATTCATTGGTTGCTCTAAATTGAAGCTATTATTCAATGAGCACTCAATCCGTATAACTCTTTGTAAAAACTTTCATACATTTATTCATTTTCTCTTTAAATTCTTTCAATTTTAAAATCTTTGAAATGATTCAACAATTTTATCGCAAATAAAATATATGAAATAGTTTTCAAATAAAAACAAAAATTATACGAAAGACAATGTATTAAATGCCAATTTGTGCACATATTGTTAAAATTATGAATGTTCTTTTTACCATTATGGAAATTCTGTGTTTCATACGCGATCATGGTAAACGTGTTACATAGGACTTAAGGTACAATATTTTTGCAAAATAAATAAATTACCAGGTTGTTAATGAGTGTTAGCAATTATTTATGTCTCGATTACACTTACGAACATTTAGACAAAAACAAAAATAGTGTTTTTAAGTCATATTAAATGCATAAAAAAGTGTACTAGAATACGAAGTGTAGGCAGATAACAGTAAGTGCACTTGCAATGTAACATTTTAAATTAGTACATAATGAGTCATTATTAATGACAAAATCTTAAAAAAGTAGTCATCAACATTTTAGTGAAAATTTCATTTAGAATAAAGTTTCAAAATTTAGTTAAAAATTTACTTTAAATTTTTACAAAAAAAAGTTAAATGTTTTCACAATTGTTAATTTAAATATTGTATAACTGCAAAAAATAAACAATTAATTTAGTTAAGAGCTGTTTTTATAGATTTCTCTAATGAAAATTTACTATAGAGTAAATCTTAAGAAAAACCTTAATGTTCTCAAAATTTTATCACAACATCCTTAATTAAAAAGTACATAAATTTATTAAAAAACTTTTTGCTAAAAAGAGTTTTTTGCACTTAATATTAAACAAATATTATTTTTAAAAGTATTTCATACAATTATTTTAAATTTGAATGATTTTAATAGTAAAACTTGATATAACGTACTGTATATTTCTAATATTTCTATAAAGTACCATTTGTTGAGCGTATAGTCGCTGTCCTACACCTGACCAAAGTGTTTGTCGGACCCAAAAGACCGGAGCGTTTGACGCGAAGCCAATTCTTGTATTCGTCGACCGAAACAACAGTGCATTCATTAGCGATGGAAACGACTGGAAGTGAGGTATGAATCGGAATAAAGTGTCCGACGTTTTGATGGGTCATCACTGGACTAAAAGGCGATGCCGTGTTGTGTGACTTGTTGTCCATTAATCCCGAATCCCAATACTTTGTCGGATTATTAGGCGAGTGTCCGCTTATATCTGAGTAGTGATCGTATTGTTTGCGACTCATCACTGAACAACTCGAACCCATCCCTTCACTAATTGATGTTATATTAGATAATTAGACAAAACTTGAGATTAGCTGCTAATCTGATTACTGGAAAAACATTAGATTAGAGAGCAATAAGTCTATAATCGAAATAATAAGTCATTTATTGGTGATTGCGATCATTAGATGCCGCAGAGGAAGAGATGTTGCCATTGGAGACCCTCTATGAGAATGAGGTCGGTTTGAATGGTACGGATCTGTTGAGACTGTAAGCCTTGTATTTCAGGTGTCATTTACCTTAGACTTTGTGCTCGTTATGTAAGCGCTAATACATATGCAATACTCTATTCTCTATTGAGTTATGCTTTCTTTCTTCGTATTGATTAAACACAATAACAAAACCATTTGCTTATAAACAACTCACACACCGATTCTATACGTTAGCCACAATTCCGGTGATGCATAGGATTAGCATTGCTATAGACTTAGCATTGCCCATAGACTTAACATTGTTCATAAAATTAGCATTAGTCCCATAGAGTTAACATTGCCCATATGATAACAAGACCCCCATGTTAAAATATAGCTATAGACTGGAATCCCATGTTAAATCCCATAGGGTGTGGGGCGGAGGGGGAGAGGGCCGAACTATTCTATAAACCACATTATTCATATCTGAATTGTGGTTAAAAAAATCATTGGAAACATTAAATTTACTTTTAGTTCAACATAACTATTAGAATATGTGTGTTATATATTGAACACTACAGACCGTATTCTAGACTTAAATCTCTCTCTCTCTCTCTCTCTCTCTCTCTCTCTCTCGCTTTTTTCTAGCTATTTATTAATATATATTAATAGTAGTAAAGTATGTGTGAAATAAAAGTAAAGCAAAATTCTGTCAAACTTTAATCGATTTTTCGATTTATTTCCGTTTTTCTACATTTTATAACATGTTTTTTCTTTCGTACATTTTCTTAGTTATTTTCTTATTTATTGATTATTCTGTGATTTTTATAATAAAGTGTACTTTTATTTAATTAAAGTGAATAATTAATTAATTAAATATAAAGCAATAATAGGTTAATTGCTTTAAACAATAGGACGGCTATAGAAAGCGCCAGCAATTGAGGGACACATTCAACATACTGTATAATAATGTGTTATATTTATTATCACTGATTTTGATTGATATTACAATCGTTTATAATTTATTTGAAAACACATTAAAACTTAAATTCATTAATTCGTGAGACGTTTATAATCCGATTAAATAACTATTAAATTATAATTAATTAATTGATGACATAATTTTATTATTAACGATGTGCAATTTGAAGTTCACCAATACTTAACTTAATTAATTAAATTAAAATAAAAGTTGTTTTTATTATATGCGAAAAAATAATTTGATAACAAAATAATATAACATATGAATGAAAGGCATTATAATGTTATGAGATGAGAGAGAATTTGAATGAATAAAAAGCTAAACATATAAAAAACTATCTCTTCTTTGCGATGACTGAATGGGAGATAAGACATAACGAAATGTTTGACAACAATAACCAAAATTGAGAGATAGGGCCCAATATATAGAAGACTTCGCCTATTTTTATGAAACATCAATACATTTCCCAAATGGCATCGCAAAGAAGAAATCATCGAAATTTATAGTAAACTCAATTCACATCTTATTATTTGACATCAAAAGCCAAAAACAATATAATATGTGATATTATTTGTGAATAAAGTGAGTGTCAGTTATGATATATATTTAGAAACATATTGTCTGTGATGTCTGTTCTCAACAAACCATTTAAAAGGATCTTTTGTTTGCAACACTCACTCCAAGTCATACCACAAACTGATAATACACTCGAAATTAGCTCTTCTCTCACTTTTATTTGAGATCCATTACTGCTTTGAGTCACGACATTCACTCCTCCATCAGTCAATCTCTCTCTCTCTCTCTCTCTCTCTCTCTCTCTCTCGCTTTTTTCTAGCTATTAAAGAAATTAATAAAACGAAAGAACATTTGTTGTGAATAGAGTTGTGATGAGAAATAATTAGTAGGGATTGAAGGGATGAAGAGATGAGGCAATGGATTAAGTGGTGGACTGAAGAGGAAATGAAAACAATAAATATATTTTGTTTGAGAAATAAATTGCAAACAACTATATGTTGTCGAAGAAGAGATGCATTTATTCTGTACTATAAATAATAAATAACTCAAAGAATAGTTGACTTCGAGTTTGTTTAACATTTATAATTCCGAGATCTAAAAGCTATTAATCTCTTCAAATGTTTTGATCTCTTCGTGTCTGTAATTAATTTTTTCTGTCTGTAAAGTAAAATGTTTTTCCTATTACAAGATTTTGGTGTTTTATTAGCGCTTTTTAATTAGTTGTTTAACAATACACTACAGGAATCGGAGTTAAATCTAATACAAACATATATTGTTAAACTCTCGCTTCAAACAATCAAATGTTATTTAAATAAATTATAACAATTCGTTGAAACTATCAGTCAATCAAATAAATACCAAAAATGTCTGGAAATAAGTCGGTTCCGAAGAAAAAAGCCGCCCCGGCGGCCAAGAGCTCATCCACTCAATCCAATCAATCGACTCAATCAAATCAATCCCTTCAATCCAAACCTCAACCCAAAACCCCAACACAAGCGACAGCTAAACCCCCACCAAAAGAGGCGCCAAAAGAGATACCGAAAGAGGGTTTACTTCTTGGTTTGGGTAATCCATTGCTGGATATACTGGCGAACGCTAAGCCAGAGTTCCTCAAGAAGTACGGCCTTTGGCCGAACGACCAGATCATGGCCGGTGAAAAACATCAGGGTTTGGTTCCCGAACTCCTCAAAGAGTATAAAGTGGAATATTCCGCGGGAGGAAGCGTTCAGAACAGTATGCGTTGCGTTCAGTGGTTCTTCGGCCAAAACCCAAATATCACCACTTATTTCGGTTGCGTTGGCGATGATGTCTATGGAAAGAAAATGGAGGCCAAAGCGAAAGGCGATGGCGTGAATGTGGTGTATATGGTGGACAAGGATGAGACCACCGGTGTTTGCGCCTGTCTTATAACCAATAACGGGAAGAACCGATCGCTTTGCGCTTTTCTCGGCGCGAGTATTAAGTTTAATGTGAAACACATCGCCGACAACACCACACACTTAGACAAAGCCAAGTATTTTCTCACTTCTGGCTATCATTTGGCGGTGAGTGTGGAGTCGGCCCTCAATTTGGCCCAACACTGCCAGAAGAATGAGGGGAAAGTGTTTGCGTTCGCGCTGTCGGCCGCCTATATCTGCACCAAATTCTCCAAAGAGTTGCTCCAAATCTATCCATACATTGACTATATGTTCGCGAGTGAAACGGAGGGCCGAGAGTTCTCGCAAATGATGGGTTGGGAGGCGTCCGAACTCAAAGACATCGCCATCAAAATGGCTCAACACGAGAGTCAGAACCGCAAAACGGGTCGCAAAGTGATTCTCACTCAGGGAAAGGGGAATGTAGTGCTCGCAGACGCTAAGGAGACCGGCATTAAAGAGTTTCCGGTCACTCCTATACCAGAAAAAAATATCGTCGACACCAACGGCGCCAGTATGTAGTCGTACCCACCCTTCGGGTACTTTCACTTTCACTTTAATACCCGATTGACTCCCAATGTCTTTGTTTTATAGGCGACGCATTCGTGGGCGGATTCTTAGCCCAACTGATCCGCGGCCAACCCATCGATGTCTGCATCAAGAGTGGTAACTACGCGGCCAGTGAGGTGATCCAGATGTCGGGCTGCAATTTCCCCAAACAAAACAAATTCCGCATTTAATACCAGTTTTATTTGAATAACAAATATTTCAACAGAACTTTTAATTCATTAGCAAAAAACAAAACCTAAATTAAAATTAAATCGATTTTATTTCAATACTGATTACACATAAATATTTCCAAACACTTGTAATAAATAACATTATTTTTTTGTTGTCAAACATATAAACTTTTAGACCAAATGTATTATAATTTATAAAATCTAAAGTTTTTCATATAAAATAAAAATTTTAAAATTCATTCAAAAAAGAAGTCGATTTTCGTACAGAATTTATCATTTATTTAAAGAATAACATTATTATTGAAAGATTATATAAAAACAATGCACACAAACGGAGTGTTCAAACGGTTAACAGGAGTCCCTCGAACTCGTATCGGAAACAACTTAACTGCAAATGCATTGACTGTTCAAATGTGTTGAGTATTTTGTCGACCAAATCATCGTTGATATCGTAATTGTGAACCAATAGACAGTTCAGGCATTCGTTGAGTTTCTTATTCGACAAAACCGTCAACTCTTGCCTCGAGTGAGCGAACGCCAGCCGAAGAGCGCCGATATCGATCACCGACTGGACTCGAGCCGTGTCCGTGATTTTGGCCGCAATGCTATCGTATAGTCGTTCCACTTCTTCGAGCGCCGACTCTACTATAAAATACATCACTTTCTCGACTAATGCGGGCGCTATTTGGTAGACCTCGGCCTGAATCTCGATCAGATTCATGAGCATCTCTTTCACATAATAGCTGACATCACTGGGCGTGGCATTAGTGGTGAACCATTCGGTCTCAAACAAATACATGGCCGGCTCTATGCCTCCGATCACGACATCGCACTTCCCTTCGATGTACTGATCGAAGAGTCGATTCTCGAGGTCTTTGAACTTGTTTTGCGTGATTTTCATCACTAAATTCATGTCCGGATAACCAAACTTCTCGAACGACTCGTGAAGCCGTGGTATCACCTGATTGTAAGTGAAACCACAATTGCATAACACGATGAGTGTCCGGTCTTCGAGTCGGGGCAGCGCTTTGGGCGTCGATGAGGGAGAGTTGTGTGGAGTGGACACTGTCTTCTCGAGGGCGCAGATGAACGACTGGAGCAGCGTTTGGGCCAACTGTTTGACTGATCCCTGAACGTTGATTTGGCTGAAGATGTCGGTGTCGTCGGTGCCGCGCACCTGCAGTACAGTCTCGCGAACCAACTGTAAGATCTCGACAACTTTGCACTCGTATAGGAGTGGTAACTGAGTGCGAGCGCCGACAGTGTCGTCCAGCTGTATGTCCCACATCTCCTTTGTGTGCAAATTCTTGATCTCAGACGCGCTTTGATTGAACAGACATTGCATCGAATGGACCCGAAGGTCGAAAATCAATTGAATCAATGGTTTCAACACATTTTGGTTGGGATTCGACGACAGCTCCAGTTTTGAGAGATTAGAGCAACAGTTGATTACACACCGCAAACAATAAGGTAACCACAGGACCAGTTGCTCGTCGATCTCGTACGACCACTGCTGGACGTGAGGCATGTTTTTGATAGAGTTGGGCAAAATGGCTGCTCTCATCTCATCACACAGTGTTTGGATCGGTTTCTCAACCATTTCCTTATGGAAGACATCGTCTTTCGCTCTCAACTGTTCGAACGTCTCTTTAGTATAGAGATCTCCATTCAGATAAGCGGTTCCCAAACGAAACAAATCCGGAAACGACTGATTGAACAAATTAGTTAACTCTTCGACAAATTGTATTTGTTTTGGCGCTTCCACTGGATATCCAACACTCTCTTCGTTGTCACTCATGTCTTCGGCTTCGATGGCAACGGGTTTAGGCTTTGAGTTCTTGTGTTTGTCTCGACATTTCTCGACGGACGAGAGGAGTGTCTGTTTAATGGTATTGATTGAATCCCAGGCGGGATCTCCCGATTGGTCTAAACTATTCAGATATCGTATCAATCGTTTCACTTCGTCAACATTGCGGCCGTCATTCTGACAACAGCTGAGTCTAAGCTTCTCGTTAAGCATCGCCCGAAACTTCTCCACTCTTTGCACGACTTCTGAATACACTTTCGCGAAGACATTGACGGATGTGTTAGAGAAGAGCGATTTGGCGCGACTGAAGTCATTGATCACAATATCGTAATCGCCTTTAAGTATACTTTTGTCGATATTTGAGGGAAGATTGAAGAGAAACCGATACCTCTGGAGAACATTGAGTGCATTGCGAGTCGAGTCGGCCTTATCTTTGCGGGAGAGGACGGCGTCGAAGATGGCGTGCGCCTCTTCGGTCGACTTGCGGATCAAGTCGTCCACCTTTGCGTTCAGATCGGGTCCCACCTCTTGCTTGTCTTTCTTGAGCGCCAAATGAAGCGCTTTCAACGCGTCTAAGCATTCAATTACTGGCAATACGTTTGTCTTGAGAAAAGTCACCGGCGCTGACGACGCGTTGGGCGTCAACTGTGCCTCGCATTTGGCGCGAAGCGAATCCAACCCTCGCTTGAGGTCATTGAATGAGGTGTTGTTGTGGTGTTGAAGGAGATACCAGTCGGGGAGGAAGTGGTCGGACGCGATGTTGGCGTACGACTGGGGCGTCGCCTCCAACGCGTCCGGAAACAACTCGCGAAACAAAGAGTCACTAATCTTTCCGCTGCGACCGCTGGTCGGCGAGTCGTCGTCGACGCACAGACCCAACGGATCCGTTGAGTACATCATCGCCGGCGACGTCGGCCGGTGTCTGGCGGACGACTGGTAGTAGTCGTCTTCGTTGACCCAAACGGCCGACTCTTTGGTGGGGCCGACGATCTCTTCGTAGCCCTTGAACTGCACTGTGGATGAGCCGCGACCGCCGCTCCGAGTGGTGACAATCACATCACCCAAGCCTTTACAACGAGACGATCGGCTGATGATCTTCTGTGAGGTCAACCATTCGCTATACATAAGACACTCCACACCGCAGATGGACACAGAGATCAGGTCCTCCTGGGATTTGCCTAAGTTTTCGCCCCGAATCGTGACCTTAGTTCCCGGCGGCCCCTCCTTTGGCGACAGACCCGTCGTCTTCGGCGACTGACCACTCATTGTCGTTGTCATCGGTNATGGACACAGAGATCAGGTCCTCCTGGGATTTGCCTAAGTTTTCGCCCCGAATCGTGACCTTAGTTCCCGGCGGCCCCTCCTTTGGCGACAGACCCGTCGTCTTCGGCGACTGACCACTCATTGTCGTTGTCATCGGTGGAGGCGTTCAACGCATCCAACACTGGTCTGCAATTGTCATACTTCGGGACCAAAACAACGATTCAATCGACCATTTCTTGTGTGACAACACTTTTATAGAGGCGTTTGTTTTGACACTTTGTTTGTCCAGTAATTACGGCAACCATTTGTGTCAATACACAGTCTTTGCGCCCCTTTTGGACAATGAGTCACACATTTGGTGCCAATTGTTGGCAATTTGTCGATAAAATAACGTAACGTTTTATATGAGATGTTTTGCTGTGCATTGAGTTTATAATGGGCTTAGAGTTTAACACTTACCTCAAACCCATTGACCGACCCGTCAATCAATAATAAGTGTTAAAAAAGTATTTAATAAGTTATAAATTATATGAATACTAATGAAAATATCAAATAATAGCCCAAACAATATAAATACATAAGAATAAATGAGAAACAATGGGAATACAGGGTATATAGTAGTAACGGGAATGAGTAGGGAGTGTTGGGTCGGGTGCTGTGTTGTAAGTCTAGTGCATTTGTGTGCTGTCTATGTAATGCCATTTTGCTTATGATTCGTCGATTGAGTGCTTTGTGTCACTCATTGACTGCATTGCCATCCAATCCATGCTATAGTCGTCTCACTAAGATGTGGGAAGTGATTGATTTCCGGCTCGAATCCAACTTAATTCAACCGGACGTGTAGTCCCTCTAACAAAGCATCTAAGAGTAGCCCTTTTGCCGGCGGCAACGGTTACCACTCGATCCTCAACTACGATATGCGGCACAACTGTTCCCATTAAGTCGTCCTCAACTATTAGATGAATGCGCTCTTCAATGGTACCAAACGGCGAAGTACTGGTGCACTAATGCGCAGACAAGCAATGGTTTTGTACAAATCAACGATAATTCAATACAAGACATACCACATATACTCCGGAGTCAGATGCGGTCACATTTGATATTTCTATGACGGCTCTGCCCTCACTCTCAGTGCCGGCGACCAGAATTGGTGCTCCAGAATGTAGTTGATGTGATACTCGTCTCCAAATTAAGTTTGATGTCTGATCTCCGTTTGCCTCGCATTCGAGCCTCACTTTTTCATTTGGCCGAACTCTATAGGGACTCGACTGTAGAATCTTAACAGTGGGCGCGCCCTGTATTCTGAGCACTGCCTGTGCTGTTACTCTTCCGGCTATATTTTCGGCCTAATTTTAAAGCATTGTTTATTAGCTGTTTTATAGTCCATATATTAAACAATTGACATACAGTGCAGATGTAGGCGCCGTCTTCATCGCCGGTCACTCTATTGAATCTGAGGACACCATCGAGTAGTTCAGTGCTGGGAGTGAATAAACTTCCGTCGCTTCGGCGCCACTCAACAGTAGGCGTCGGGACACCAGATGTAACCCGACATTGAAATAATGCGCTATAAATACAATTTTTACCATTAGTTTTATAGAAATAGTAGTTATCATAATTGTAAGCAAAACGCAAACCTTCCGCCCCTAACAACTGTTTGTGACGATTCCGGGTATATTTGAATGGCGGGTATTTCTCTCCTTTCAATCTCGACAATCGCAGAGCTTTGTGCCGA